ATCGTTTGCAGGGAATATGACTCTGTATTCATTCGAACCTAAACGTAGCCACGAATTTGAGTGGTTTTGCCTGCAATACTTAGAAATTAGCATGTTGTAGTAATAGAAACTACCATACCACAAGCAAACCGCGTTGCCCCGCCCGCTCTCTATTTGTTCTATGCCCAATAATGTCTCCTTTTTCGTTTTGATGAGAGTTTTTTGCCAAATAATAGCCGCGGAGTGCAGTGGTAATCGGTCAAAGTGATTCACTATGAAAATAGTGTCATATTTGTTTCTATGTGGGTTGCTCGGAGCAGAGTTACTTTCATAACTCGTGGTTTACTTGTTCAGGAAGAGAATCGCAATCTCAGAGAAGCTATTGATGAATCGATGGAGACTCTTGCCAAGGTGATGGCTCGACATCGTATGGTCATGGCTAGAATGAACAGGTAATTTTAAAATGTTCACTCCATTTTTCTCAAAAATGCATTCCGAACTGCTGGGAACCGGTCAGAGTGTGATTCATTTTGAAAACTAGTGACATAGTTGTTTTCACGAGGACTGTTTGGAGTAAAATTGGTGGTTAGCTGGTAGGTGGACGCAGTAACGATGAGCAGGTACCCAGCCCCACAGATGTGTCGATTCATCACTCAAATGTGTTTGATAGCGTCAGCGCAGAAATGCTTGGTAGCCTTAGCGCAGTTGCTTGACTACGGCCTGGTTTCACCGTCTCGCTCCACCCATAATGATTAGATGTCCGTCTTCGCTGGCAGCTGTGTGCTCACGTCCTTGAGCGTCTCTGCGTCTCTATTAATCACGTGTTCGTTCAATGCTGAAAAGTAGCTGAATTTGCAGCATTTCTGACGAGTTCTCCTGCTTTCTTCTTCACTGGTGAAGCAACTAGCACCCCCTAAATCATCTTTGAACTTCACAGGCCTAATCGCGCATGTCTCTAGGCTCTGAGTGGGCGTTTCGGGAACAAGCTGATTTTGAAAAGGTCCACGAAAGTCGGCTATCGAGCTTCGTTTTTGACTGGTCCACCGTTTAGGATGTCGAAGCAACCATCGTTCAAGGAGGTCACCAGCATATTTCCTGATGAACGTGATAATTCCACAAAAGACAAGGAACGGTTCAGGTATTGATCTTCATCATTCTTTTTATTCTTCCATAATTCTTCTGACGTATTTCAGAAAGCTTGTATCTGAAACGTCAAGCTTCATGAAAGTTTGCGAGGATTCGACATCGAATGACCTGCAAAAATTGTCTCAGCTTCTACAAGAAAACCAAGTTCTACGGTAAGGTTTGGTATTTAATCTTGTTACATCTCGAAATTTATGTGACCAGAAACCGAAATGTTGTAAGGCAGCCTCCTTCTGATTAACCGCTCTCATAAAGCGCACCCGTCCTGCGGCTCCGTCTGCTGCCAACTTTTGATGATACCAAAGGGTTAAATTGCGCAGCACCACCTGGCAACCAGCTGATAATTAATTCACAGCTCACGCGTAAAGTGTCAAGGTAATTTGCCAATTATGAAACAGTAGCTGATAAGTAATTCCTCAATGAAGGAAAAAAGAAACAAGAGCCCTCAAGAACACCATAAACAAAATCGCGCCCTGACAGTCACACCTCCCTGCGGTCTCTGTGCAAGCCCTGGCTCACAAATCACTTTGTCACATCTCCCAGTAGTGGATATCATCGAATGCGAAGAAAAGAAAACAAAACAACAGAAACATGGAGGAAATAACTCTTGAAAAGGAAAGGAAACATTTAAAAAGCCGGCGTTCGAACCTAGGGTTACGGTAGCGAGCATGTTTTAGTGTAATGAAGTGCGTCGAGCTTTTGCACCACAGAAATTGCATCATTCGTGACTTTTACGCGTTTTACCTCTACGAGAGGGTTGGGATGGTTGCTGTTGACTGTACGTGCTCCCAATGAATAAAATGTGATGAAGGAGAGCAGAATTATTTACGAGCACGAGCGCGGTCAGCAAAAAATACATGCAGTTCCGATTAATGACTGCCGTCCCAACAAGGAACAACTGAGCGGCTCTCCGTCAGAGGGCAGCTAGCTAGTGAGGCGGTCCAACTGAGCAGGCGTTAGAACTAGAACTTTGAGCGGTTCTAGCTCGCTCCTCGCTCGCTGAGGAGTCGCCGAGATGAGATTGGTATCTAACTTCGGGGCCTGAACTAACTGCTCCGTAAGAGACGACCATGTACCTACTTGAGCGCGGGGGGCTGTCTTTAATCCAGGCCTTGGATCGAAGCCTACTTACAAGGGAATGGTTTGAACTTCCCATGGAATTTTGAGTGGAGACCTAGGTAATTAGATAGAGCCTCGAATGCTGATTACGAATATGCAGATTAAAGTGCTACGGAGACCTCCCAGACGAGATCTGGGTGGTCAAAGTTTGCGAAAAGTCAGTTTTGGCTCGTAAGCGCTGCTGATCGACCGTCGGACGGTGCCGCCGTGGCCTAGTGGTAATGGTCTCGCTTCAAAGCTAAATACTCGTGGGTTTGCATCCGGTTTGCGCGAAAGTTTTTGCTTTGCCTGCCATGAGAGCTTCTACTCTAATTTTCGAAATTCCTCCGAGTTTACGGCCCAGCAGAGCAAGTAGATCAAGTATATGACGTACTCGATCGAGTATGGATTTGGTCACTATCTGCCCTCTCTCAACTTATTACCCATCCGACCGTTCGAAGTTTTGCCCAGAATCACAATTGGCCATACAAGCGTTTTCTCGTCAAAGGATGTGATATTCGTGTTCAGGAGGTCAAAATCTCCCATGAACGAGTTTCTCGCCAAAATTCTGAATAGTCGGATGGGTAATATTTTCAGAGAGGGTGGATAGTGACCAAATTCATATTAGATCGAGTACGTCATATACTTGATCTACTTGCGTAGTGAGCAGTACTGGATTGCTGACCATCTGTACTTTACGTAATTTGAAGGTGTCACTAACGGTGCTCAGGATCACAGGAAACGATATCTTACTCTAGCGTCTCTTATGAGGAGAAGTACTTTTGACAATTTTTCTCTTTTTCTGCTATTGCGCTATTTTTTCACTGGTAATTGTTTTGTTATTTCCAAAGATACATTGAGCATCAAAATAGAACTGAAGTTATCAGATAGGGCGTCGACTTAGTCAGGGAGGGTTGCGGAGGGGGAGAGGGAGGGAAAGGTGGGGAGCAAGCGTAGCAGCTCCTTTAGGTCTGCTCACTGCTCAAGCTGGCAGGCGACCACGTTTAAGGGGAAAACTGGCTGGTGCCGCACCAAACCCAGTTCCCACCCTTCCCCCTCACACGCCCCAGCTTCCGCAGCGAATAAGACTGTATAGACATCCACCTCTTGTGCAACCGTGTGCTTTCTCGTCCGCGTTTGATCTCTCGCCCACGCCCCTGGCAGTATCCATTCACCGCAAACTCCTCTCATGCTGAAGATAAGCTTCACTCGCGTTTTCGCTCGGACTTCCTGTTCTCTTCTTTGTTGGTGGAACAGTTGGACCCATAAACTCATATTTGAGCCCGTTACTAACCAATTGCAATCGCGGAATGTGTTTTTACATAGAAGAAAAGATCGAGTAATAACCCTCAAACAAAGTATCCCTGTTTGCTGTATTGCGACACCCACGGAATGCGGTGCCTCCGGAAAGCTAGGCGGGATGAAAAGTGTTTCCATTCTCGCCTAACTAGTAGAAAGATATGGATCGTTTAAGGGAAATGCTTTCAACGGCGGCGATTTCGACTCCTGGCGTAAAACATGTATTCACTCAAGCAGTGACAGAATTGAAGCAGAAAATGACCAACGGCATCGCTTCTGACGAGGACAGCGGCAGTGACACTGATGATGGACACAACGAAACTGCAATTGAGGTAAAGTATACTCGAGATCCCTGAGATCGGGTAGGCGGGGCTGCATTCTTCAACTTAACCTGAAGGTGTCTATGCTTCTGGTGGAATATTTCCATCTTGACACAACTGTTGTCGTGTCTCTGTCCACACAGAACAAGATGACAGTTGTCCCAGACTGGAATATTCCACGAGTAACCAGTTCCGTGCCATGTTCAAATGCCACGCCTACTCCGGCTCAGGGATAAGGAGTGTAACTTAAGGTACCATGAGCGAATTTATGCTCAATGGTTTTTTATTTCAGAGGAAAGTGGAACGGGATTGATCTCAGCGTTTGTACATGTATATACACATGAATAAAGCTTTATTTATTATCTATAAGTTCATTTCTTCCCTTCTAGAAGCTGGTCATATGACCGCGGTAGCAGACGCTCCGATATGTTGTTCTTTTTTGTTTCTGGTTGATTGCACGTGCATGACCGCAGTGACTCAGCGCTACAAAAAGGCTGGCGTGACAAAGTTTTCAAATAAAAAATATTGCACGGTAATAGAAGAGGAAATTCTTCGAGCATTTGATTAGTGTATTCTGGAGGCCCAGTAGAAGCTGCGAGGTAATAATTAGAGTAATTGAACTGGAGAATAGCCTCTGCAGGCTGTCGGCACTGAAAATGGGCGACATTAGAAAGATGAATTTTTGATGGAGTGTGATGAAATGTCCCCTCCCGCGTCATCGAATCAATAGTATAGTTGGAGGGGGGGGGGGCAAAAAAAAGACACTTCGACCGAGTCACATATCAGCAAAGTTTTCGCAGCCCAGACAGAGGACGTGGATACGAGTACCAGGGCGGAAGATACCCAAGATGTTCCTCTATAAGCAGGAGCTGGCTCTCGCCCATCACCTTCATGTACACCAAAATATGAAGTCATCTCCAGTCGCAGCCTGACTGGAGAAGACCTTTGGAATTCATGTCACCTCCAAACAGCTGCGAAACTTCTAGTGTGGAGTCACCCATTGATCAAGAGTGCCGGTCTCCAGTCACCTGGAGACCGGCACTCTTGATCTCCAAGATCGAGCAGCTCCGATAACGTCGTCACGGTCTAGGACATCATCTTCACCACAGTCCGCAAGGCACGGGTTGATGGTATGGGCCGGGCGTACCTGGTGTAGAAAGACCCATATTTTCTTCGTGGACTCCGGACTGAAGGTGAGCGCTGGCGGTTACATCGAGCAACTCGAGAACTCCCACATGTCGTCGCCCGTACCTTCTTGGAAACTTTGTACTGCTACAGGATTGGGTGACACCACATGGAATCGAAGGGCGTTGGAAAAACTCTCGCCTACTTGGAATGGAAGGGCGTTGAGTACCTGAAGAAGATGGAATATCTAAGCAGGTCACCTGACCTAAACCCCCTCAATTACCTGGTTCGGGCGGAGTTCAATAGGGTGGTCTACAGTGGCGGAGAAATCAACGATCTCGCTGAACTCACGCACCCACTCACGGTCGCGTGGCAGAATCTCTCGATGGCGCTCCTCCAGAAGGCTGTGGCGGAGTATCATGATAGTATTTAATATGCTCTTTAATATGGTGGTAGAAATGTCCGATCAGAATAAAGTGTAACTTATAAGTCAATGAAGAAAAGTGTCTTTTTTTTGCCCCCCCCCTGTATGTCGGTTGTATTGGAACCAAATACATTTGAGCTCAAATTCAAATAGTTGTGGAATGAAAGTACTGCTGTGATTCACCAAACGTTTTGAAATCACGAGAGTGGCTAGAATGTGCGGAATTGGCGTGTCTACTTGCTTCCGCGATAAACGAATGGGTGGAGACTTGCAGCCCTTCTGTGGATAAACGGCTATGGATAAACGCGCTGCCAGTCGTACGGCTGCACAGAAGGGGTCGATTGACGGCACCTGGGCATGTGCGAAAAGTGCGAGTTCTACTTGAAGGTGCTTTCCGCCGTAGGCGGATGGGCTGCGACTTAATAGTTGTGCCCTACTATTGTTGCACCGATTCTCTACCCTTTCAAGAGGAAAGCCATGTCAATGAGGAAGGCACTATGGTTGTGCCCGCCCACGAAATTATCGCAGAATGTGTCTTGAGAAAAAAAAGTAAAGCATAAGATAAAGATAAAAGAGATGATGCGTCAAGTGTTAGGAAAGGATACCAAGGTGCTCGATGAATGTTTGCAGAGGCAATTAACAATGGAGTACTGAGATGGACCAGCGTGATAAGGAGACGGGAGAACGGCTGCCAAAGGAGGCATGACGTCTAAAGATCTGTGAGGTCGATCGCAGCAGCCGAGATGCTCAGAAGGCGGGCGATACAGCTCAGCAAGGCTCTGAAGTTGTCAAGGAGCTCGCGTTTAATGTAGAGCTTCGCAATACATGGTAGCACAAGCCCTGTTCTTGAGCGCTTCACCCACCGTTCTGGTGTGACGTTTTACTTCAAAGAGCACTGGCTACTCCCTCGTGAGTGGGTTGCTGGGA